GATTATGCTTTCTTATGAAGTGGGCGTGCTAGTATAGTTTATATAAATGTTTCTTTATGATGTGAGCGTGCTAGTTGAGCATATATAAACGTTTCTTTATGATGCAAGCGTGCTGGCCTGAGTCATATTATTTTCTTATAAGATGTGGGTGTAATAAAAGCATATTTTCGGACCCTGTTTGCAGGCTAGGGGTTGATACGTCACTAATTGAGTATCGAGGCCTCGGGTAAAAATGGTCGAGGGTCGATGCGAGGAGTCTTTTGGAAGGAAAACTATTGGGGCCTTGGGTAAAAATGGTCAAGGGTCGATAGATGGTGAAGTCATCGGGGCCTTGGGTAAAAATGGTCGAGGGTCGATGCAGCAGTGTCGGGGCTCTGGGTAAATCAGGGGCCGACTCTACTCGAAAGAGTTAGCTTTGGAAAGCTAGGATAGCTATGATAAGCGTAGAGGTGCTTGAGATGTTAGGGAGCCTCGAGGTTGGTAGTTAAATTGTTCACGGTTGTGGTTATCGCTGGATCTTATAGAGCGTGTCTATGTTTGATTGCATAATGTGATGAAGAACATGACTATGATTTGTTGAGCATGATGTTTGTGTGTTGAGCATGATGTTTGTAAAATCTACACACATCCTCCATTTCTCATTAGCCTTTTTTTACCATTAATACGTTAGAGAGCCATGCGGGGTAGTAAACTTATTTTATGAAATTAGCCTTGAGGAGTTTGCCAACCGCCTCAGAAATTACAACGCTACGAGTAGCGTCCACAGGTCAACGCTTTTGTTTGACTAGCTTGTAATCCGGATCTATATTAAGCCTATGGACAATTACATTGTGATCGATTCCTGGTACGTCCTCATGGGACCATGCAAATACGTCTATATTGGTTTGTAAAAGGTTGACTGGTTCGCTACTTACTGAGGTCTGCATACCCATACCAATATTGACCCCTTTATCAAAGGACCCCAATTGGATTTGCTCAAGGTCTTCCACTGACGTACCCCACCCTTCAGCTTCCATCTCTGGTTCGCTCTGTAAATTTCCCTTATTCGCTGGGTCCGGGGTTGATGTTGCACCAAGGATCATCACACAAGTGTGGATCCCTTTTAACGCGATGACATAACATTCTTTAGAAGCCTTCTGTTCCCCTCTAACTATTCCTACTCCATTTTTAGTGGGGTACTTCATCATCTGATGATAAATAGATGGAATAGCCTGCAAATTGTGGATATAAGGCCTTCCAAGAATAGCATTGTAGGCCGAAGCCCCATTTATTACGCTTGTTTACATGCGTAAAAAGAAGGTTTTAGATGCTGTTTTTACTATGCTTTAGCTTTGTTTCGGATTTTTCTCGGTCGTTTGAGTTCCAATTCATGCAAAATTTATATATGATGGTTTGTGGTTGGCTTATATTATATTTATGACATTTTAGGACCATTTGGGAGTGAAAATTAATCAAAAGAAGCAAAAAGACGGAAAAACCATCATGGGAGGCGCCACACGCCTGGGAAGCCTGCAGAAAAACTGGTTTTCTTCCAACTTTGCCCTTAATGAAACGCGTCTTCCAATGCGTTTTGGTGGTTCCAACCGATGCATACGTATAGAAGAAGTGTTCCACTATCAGTTTGAGCACGATTTAGTCAGTCAAAGATGTTGGAAATGGGTGATTCACCATCGTTTTAGGACCTACCTAACCAATTCT